CCTCCCACAGGCAGCTCTGCTCTGCAAGCAGGAGCTGTGGGAGAAGCCAGCTCCAGCTGAGCCCCCAGAGCTCACAACACACCCAGAGCAAGCAGCTGAAGCAGTCTCTCCCCCGCCCAGTAAAGCAGCAGCACACCTGCAGTGCCGGGTCAATGCTCACCTCTGCAAGCTGCCCCTCGTGCTCTGCACCATCCCCTCCTGGAGCTGGGGGTGCAGAGCTGCAGGATTTATAGCCTGCTCCTGCCTGCAGCACTCACTGGTGGCCAGGAGCACCTGGGAGCACTGGGGGTGATGCAGCCTTGCAAGCAGCAGGGCCATTTCCATGTGTTTAATCAGGTGACTGTAGCCTGCTGTTTCTGCTGTCAAATCTACATGGAGACCAGCCTCTGGTCTGTGTTCAGGTCCATACTACTTGGAAACTCTGAATTCTTGTCTTGCAGGATTAAAACTGCCTGCCTGCAGTTTGGGGCAGATCCCAGAGAAGCAGGATGCAGTGCTGGTGTTCGTGGTTCTGCTCTGCACTGCAGGGAAAAAGGACCAGTGCAGCAGAATGCCCAGAGCAGGTGGGGGGCACTGGGCACTGTCTGCCGGGGGCCAGGGGCTCACAGGCAGCTTCAGCTCCCAGCAGAGCAGGGGGGCTGCCCTCTGCCCCCCTCTCCCTGTGGGGAAGCTCCAGCCCTGGGCCGTGCAGCTCAGGGGTACCAGAGCTGGTTTTGTGTCTGCCCCACAGGCTCACAGGCCCGGTGTCAGCTGTAATCACCCCCATCCCATTCCTGCCAGGTGCAGGGACCAGGCAGCAGCAGCAGGAGGAGGAGGAGGAGGAGCAGGAGGAGGTGGCCTGGGCGACCTCCCCAGTCACAGGAAGCACACGTCCATCCTCTCTCGCTGCTGCTCAGCCTGGTTCCACCGCCAACTACTCCTAATGACACTTCAACAAACACACAACAATCTGTCTTCATGAAAATCAGTGAATAAATTTAATTTAAAAATACTTTTCTATTTCTGGACAGGCACCACTCTGCGCCAGCTACTTCAGAATCAGCTGAAGCCTGCACAGTGCCCAACAGCCAGACTGCTCAAGGCTGTAATGGCAAAACACAGCACTCAACCCTCTGTGAGCTTAACAAACAGCTCCCCTAACCCCTCCTCTTTATGAGGTGTACATGGGGTCTCAGTGCTTGGCTTCTGTCCTCCAGCTGATGTCTGTGTGCCTCACGAAGGGGAAAAAAGGAGAAGAAAGCCTGAACCGTGCAGGTCCCCGGGGGTTTGTCCCTGTGGGACCCCTGGGGCTGGGGCAGGGCAGGGCAGGGGTGGCCACTGGCTGCTCTCCTGCCCAGCACAGGACACCAGGCGTTGGTTCGAGGGGTGGAGAATTTCAGAGAGTCTCTTTCTCTGCTGGCTGCAAGTCCCCACAGTCTGCACATCCCTGCAGAGTCACGCTGGCCTAATTATGTCTTCAGGCAAACACAACTTATTTACCGAATGTGCTGGGTCCTGCCGCCGGCCCCCGCGCATTCAGAGCCCGCGGCCGGCACACGCTGCCCACAGGAGCGGCCATCCGTGCCAGGAGGGCACTGCCAGCCTGGCCCTGGGGGTCTGGGACACAGCAGGTCCTGCCCCTCGAGCAGCGCTGGGCGCCGTGTTTGTGGGTGGGTGGGAGGGTGAGCTGCCAGCTCAGATCTATAATCTGTAGCAGCTTGTAAGAGGCACCCCCTCTCCCTGCCCTCCAGGAGCTAAAAACAGTCTGAAAGGTCCCCCTTCCCCCGGGAAGGAGGCATGTGGCATCCACTTGCACGGTGCAGAGTGGCTGAGTTTTTTATCCGCCCTGGGGGTGCTGCTGTGCCGGGCCCTCCCATGGCACACACAGCCCTGGCTGCAGCAGTGCTGCAGTGGCCACTGAGCCCCAGCCCTGCAGCCCCTGCGGGATGATGGACAAAGCTGTGTCACTGTGCTTTGGGATCCCCTGGAGCTGTTTTCTGCATCAGTGTTGGAGCTGGGGGAAGCCACAAGAGGCACCCCCGGGGCAGACGTGTGTGCAAGCACTTGGGAGGCAGCAGAGGGGGGCACATTGCTCTCGACGTTGTCTCCCAGTTTCCAGCTCCATGATAAAGCTCCTTGAGCAATCTTGTAACACATATTTCAGTGGTTCCACGCCCTCAGCACCAGGCATGCATCCCCTGGAAGCTGCAGAGGGCTCCTGTGGGTCAGTGGGGCCATGCCCAGAGCAGCGTCCTCAGAGCAGGCAGGGTGCTGCTTCCAGCCCTGAGTTAATTACAGCAGCGGCTCCAGACACTGCTGAAATGAAAGGGAAGGATGAGCAGCTTTCTAGCTCTGCCTTTATTTTCTAACCCCAAGTAAGAGTCACGTTGGAAGAGAGGCAGTGATGGATAATACAGCTCAATGGAACGGTCTGAGTGTGAAGGGGAAAACCAGGAAAGCCTCACATCCTGGTCCCAAACTGGACATTGATCTGCTGTCTCCTGGTTTTCTCATGTAAACTGGGGAGTGGGAGATGCTTAGTCTGAGGGCATTCCGCAGATCAATTAGCTTTTGGGAAGCACTTTGAAGATTTAACAAGTTGTATAAATACAATTGTTAGCACAGACGGCTTCTGTATTGCAACAGAACCCGAGAATGCAGCCCAGATCAGAGCCTCTCTTGGCTGTCCTGGCAGCTCGGGAGCTGCCCTTGGAAAAGCCCTGGTCCCCTGGGTGATCAGCACCCTGTGGCACGCAGGAAGGGCCAGGGTCACTGCCAGGCTCAGGGGAGCTGCCCAGGGCATATCCCTGGTGGCATTCCCGGGACGTGGAGAGCACAGGGGGCTTCCTGCAACCACCCACATCACTGAAGACCCCCTGATCCCCTGGGCCCCCGAGTGTACTCAGCACTGCTGGGTTCCCTGGCCTGGCCCTCCTGAGGTGCCCGAGAGGCACTCCAGCTGTGGCCAGTGGTTTCCCTCGGGAATTCAGTGGGAACTGTGCATGGCACTGTGCAGGTGCATCCCCCGGCAGAGCCTCGGTCCCACCCGTTGCTCTGAGAGCGAGCTGATGCAGCCTGGCCCTTAAAGCCCAGGAAAGACAAAGGATCACTCTCCAAACAGGCCGGAGGTGAGCAGGAGCTGGCATGCAGAGAACCATCCACCCGACTTCGTTTCCAGCACCTCCCCACTGCAGGGCACTTCACAGTTCTGTTTCCTTTCTAATCAATTCAGATGAAATACAAACTGAGTGCTAATCACAGAGCACAAATAGGGAAGAATATGTAGAAAAGAAAAACAACCCTCACCACCTTTGTTTTCAGTAGAGTTTATGGCAGGCATCACATTTCAAACCGCTGGCAGAGGAGCTGCTGCTGCTTGCAGCTTCACTCATTTCCAGTGTGTGCCCCACCAGGCCAGCACTCAGCACCACGGGACAGGCTGCAGAGCTGCACCAAAGCAAAAGGAAACTTGAGATGAAACAGAGTGGGGCCATTGGCTCCTGGCATTATCCTGAAGATGTTTGTCAACATTTTAGTTCAGCTAAATGGCCACTATTTTACAGAAATACAGAAATATTTTGTTTTGATATAATCATGGTCTGGGGGGATAACTTTTGGAAAAACACATTAACCTTTCCACACTGTACTTCTGAAGATTCCTGAGAGTAGGGCAGGGATGGCTGCAGCCTGACTGCATTATCTGAGGCATCTTTGGATTTACAGTCTTGTTCTCTAACATTTGTAGCACTCCTATGTTGAAAACACAGGGCTGAAACACGGCAAGGTTTGTAAGAAAAATGGTCTTGGGCCTTAACTGCCCCTCCTGCCCTCCTCAGGCAATCCATCAGTATGTGCGGACAGGCAGACCCGAGACAGGAATTCAGCTGATAAAGGGAATGCAAATTGCAGGTACCGGGATGGTCCCTGGCCTCCCTCGCCGAAGCCAGTGCCTCGCGGGGCAGGAAGGGGCCCCTCGGGCCCCTCTGGCTGTGCTGGGCTCAGGTCTCACTGGGCTGGGCTGGCACACGGAGCAGGGGCTGGCCACGCTCAGCGCGGAGCTGGGAGCGCTGGAGCTGCTGCAGCCGGGGGTGCGCAGAGGGTCAGCCCGGAGGCTGGCGCTGTCCCGGTCCCCCTGCACCCCGGTCCAAGGTGAGCATCCCCGGAAGGCGAGGCAGGAGCGCAGGAAGCCGGGTCGGCTCCCGCAGCAGCCCCGTGCCAGCCCCGGTGCCCGGGCCGCCCCTGAGCCGCGGGGCCGCTGCAGGCCCGGGCTTGAGCCGAGCGCCCGGCGCGGCCCCGCCGGGAGCCGAACAGGTCGGGCGGCTCCGGGCTGTGGGAGGAATAATCGCTGGGCTTGATTCAGCGAGCCGGGGCGGCCAAACCGGGCGAGGATGGCACTGCGGAGCCAGCCGCGGCACCGCCACCTAGCCCCGGCGAGCGGTGGCGTTTGAAGGACTCTACAGAGCCGAGCCGAGCCGAGCCGAGCCGAGCCGAGCCGAGCCGAGCCGAGCCGAGCCGAGCCGAGCCGAGCCAGGCGCGCTCCCCGCGGCGGGGGCGGCGGTGGGTGTGCGAGGGGTGTGCGCAGCACCAGCCGGTCGGGGCTGATGTTTATCGGGCGCTCTTATCTCCTGAGCTGTGAATTCTCCCGTGCCGTGCCCGCCCTGCGCTCGGCTCGGGGCAGCGCCCGCTCCGCTCCCTGCCCGGCCCCGCTCCGGGACCCTCTGGCCGGCCAGCAGCACCGCGGCTCCGGGGCTCAGCCGGAGCTCAGCCGGAGCTCCAGCTGAGTCAGGAGTGACTCATTCGGAGCCGGCTGCGGGTGCGATTGGCTGGGAGCGCAGCTCTGGATGTAGGTGGCTGCGCTCCGCGCTCCGGCAGCGCAGCCCTGCTCCCTGCTCCTCGCCCTCCGTGCAGCATTGCTGCCTCAGCCAGGCTCTGCTTCTCGCAGGAGGGCATCTCGGGCGGCTCCGGTGGATGTGGGGTGTGGATGGCCCCGGGCCCGCTCCTGAAGGGGCTCTGCACTGAAGATGGATGACTTGGCTCTCCTTGACCTGTTGGAGTGTCCCGTGTGCTTTGAAAAGCTCGACGCCACAGCAAAGGTGCTGCCGTGCCAGCACACGTTCTGCAAGCCCTGCCTGCAGAGGATCCTGAAATCCCAGAAGGAGCTGCGGTGCCCCGAGTGCAGGACCCTGGTCCTGGGCAGCATTGAGCAGCTGCCCTCCAACCTGCTCCTCATTCGCCTCCTGGATGGAGTCAGGTGCGGACAAAACGTCACCAGGTTTGGCTCGGTCCAGAGGTCGGGGCTCCTGTCCTCCCCCGCCTCCATCAGGAGGGTCCCCAGGGGGCTGCAGCTGCACCAGCACCGGCTGGCAACGAATCCCCGGATCCACATGGAGGGGGTAAGGATGTTCTTCGTTCTTTCTTCTGCCCATGAGCTTAGAAAGGTTCCTGCCGTGTGCCCAGAGCCAGGAACCTCCTCTGTTAGCAGCACTGCAGAGTGCTTGAAGTGGGACTGAGTGTTTTGTGTGCAAATTTGGCTGCTCTTTCAATGTGGTATTTGACTGTTTCAAGCTCACTACAGCAGAAATTGACTTCCAGGCTGAGACAAAGCCAGCCTGCCCTTCTTACAAAAACTTCCCAGCAGCTCTTTTCTCAGATTTCAGATGCTTCTGGCTTTTGAGGGCATTTCAGGTGCTTGGACTTTCAGGCAGTACACTGCTTTTGACTGATAGCAATTAAGTCAGTAATTGCAGAGCTGTAACTGCTAGTGGTGGAGAAGGTATTTCCATAGCTGCACCTCAGTTTCTCTGCACTGGAAAAGAAGGGGGGGTGCCCAATGCAGCTGCTGTTGTTCTGTCCAAAGTTCTTGGAAGTTCACTAGTTAAGGATGTTAAATTTGACTCACTTATGACTGTACCTAGGGATGATTTACTAGGCTAATTTTAAAATTCTAAGTTAGTTCCATCATTTTCTTTAACAATACAAACGCTTTTCTTGAGTAATGAGGACAGGATATTAGATCTGTTAAAAGAGCTTGGCTTAGTTGGAATTTAGGGTAGAGGCTTGTGGCTTCACCTTTACCACATTATATTCCTGGATTTCCATTTCTCTCACCTGAACTGCTCCGTACAATGCCTCTAAAGCCTCTTAGTGACACTCAAAAGCTTGGCTGAAGGGGCTGCGGAGCCCCAGAGCCTGCTCAGAGCTGCAGAGGTGCTGTGCCCCGCGCTGGAGCCACGCAGCCGTGGCTGTGTGCTGTGGGTGTGAGCTGGCATGGGCACCCAGGGAATCTCTGTGGTGCTGATGGGGATCTGGATGGGTCACACACCAACACCGGGCACCCCTCGGGAGCTCCTCTCCCTGGTGTTCCCCTGTGCCAGCCTGGGCCTGAGGTACCGTGTCCCCTTCCCGGAGCACTGCCTGGCACAGCACAGAGGGGCAGGGTGGGTGACACTGCCCAGCCCAGGGCACTGCCTGGCACAGCACAGAGGGGCAGGGTGGGTGACACTGCCCAGCCCAGAGCACTGCCTGGCACAGCACAGAGGGCACAGGACCAGGGCAGGGTGGGTGACACTGCCCAGCCCAGAGCACTGCCTGGCACAGCACAGCCAGGGCAGGGTGGGTGACACTGCCCAGCCCAGGGCACTGCCTGGCACAGCACAGAGGGGCTCGGGACCAGGGCAGGGTGGGTGACACTGCCCAGCCCAGAGCACTGCCTGGCACAGCACAGAGGGGCAGGGTGGGTGACACTGCCCAGCCCAGAGCACTGCCTGGCACAGCACAGAGGGGCACAGCACAGAGGGGCAGGGTGGGTGACACTGCCCAGCCCAGGGCACTGCCTGGCACAGCACAGAGGGGCAGGGTGGGTGACACTGCCCAGCCCAGGGCACTGCCTGGCACAGCACAGAGGGGCAGGGTGGGTGACACTGCCCAGCCCAGAGCACTGCCTGGCACAGCACAGAGGGCACAGGACCAGGGCAGGGTGGGTGACACTGCCCAGCCCAGAGCACTGCCTGGCACAGCACAGCCAGGGCAGGGTGGGTGACACTGCCCAGCCCAGGGCACTGCCTGGCACAGCACAGAGGGGCACGGGACCAGGGCAGGGTGGGTGACACTGCCCAGCCCAGAGCACTGCCTGGCACAGCACAGAGGGGCACAGCACCAGGGCAGGGTGGGTGACACTGCCCAGCCCAGAGCACTGCCTGGCACAGCACCAGGGCAGGGTGGGTGACACTGCCCAGCCCAGAGCACTGCCTGGCACAGCACCAGGGCAGGGTGGGTGACACTGCCCAGCCCAGGGCACTCTCCTGCCTGCAGCACAGGGCCAGGGCAGGGTGCAGCAGGTCCTTGGGCTGCCAGGGCTCCCTCCACAGAGCCCTGCTGGGACCCCCCCAGCCCCCGGGGAGCTGCAGGAGCTGCTGGGGGACAAACCATGGTGCAAGGGACGAGCCGTCCAACAGGGACAGCTTTCAGGCACTGCCATCCCTGGCAGCACTCCAGCTGACAAGGAGAAGGTTGTAGATTTTCCAACTGGACTCTCCTGGCCCTGGATAAAAGAGCACAAGTACGCTCGTCTGGCTTTCTTCTCTCTCACTCATTTCATGTTTCTTTAACTGGTTCTCAGGACATGTAGGAACTTGCTGCTGGCATATAAAAGCAACATCCATCCATGCAAAGCTCCCAAAAGCTTTTAGGACCAACTTAAGACCAAACTCCTGGAAATCAGCAGAGCCAGTGAGCACTGAGGGAGCTGTGGCTGGCTCCCTGGCACTGGGACAGCCCTCTGAGCTCCTGTGCCTCTCTGGGAAGGGATATAAAGCACATTACACTGAAACACTCTTAGACTTAATTAGTTACTTAATTATAAAACACTTTGGAATCCTCTGCTGCAAGGTGAAGAATGCAACGTATTAGTCACGTTTTGGTTTTAGTGGTTTTAAATACATTACATTACTTTGGCTACTCCAGTGGGGTGTTGATGGATTTGGAGCCTCCCCTGAGCTGGCACTCGGTGACAGCAGCACGTCACCCAGCACAGCAGGGACACATTTGAAAGTGCAGTGCAAGATGAGACAGTGATGAGGGTGACTTGTCATCACCCTACCCCATGGTGCTTGAGTTCCAGGGTCACCTGAAGGAACCTGGGTAAGCAGAGACCTCCAGGTGCTTGTGAAGCTCAGAGCAGGTTGTTTTTGTCAGGAACCACGGTGAGAGCAGCTGCCCTGCCCTGCTGCTCACCCCACCACTGCTCTCCCCTGGCTACTCAGAACTGCAGTGCCTGCTGCAGCAGAAGGTCACGGCCCCCCAAAACCAGACTGCCCCAGGCTGCTGATCACCCCCTGCTCTCCACCACCTCGTGCCACAAAGAGAACACCCCTGACGTGCCTGTCACAGCTCTGCAGCCAGAGCCACCACCCAGCCAGGACAGGGGCCAGCCTTTGGTTTTGCCAAGGCTGTTCTATGAATAAACTCCCCTCACTCCCTGGAGCTGAGAACATCACAAGTTTGATCAAAGTTTCTCTCTCAGCAGAGACGCTTCCTTGCCAGCTCTTTGCTCTTCGTGCTCATGAGCATCCATGGAGGCAAAAAATCAAATCAATCCCTCATCACCCAGCCAGCCAAGAGCTGGTCTCCTTCGGAGCAGGAGGAGGGAGCAGGCCCCCACGGAGCTGCTGGCTTAGCACAAACACAGCGCTGCTTTGCGGTCAGGAATTTCCCAGAGCCAGTTGTTAAAAACCAGGGAATTTTCTAATTACAGCCCATCCCAAGCGATTTATTTGCTGGCATTTAAATCCCTTTTGAATCCACTTCCTACGAGCTAGCGTGGTGTGGGCACGTGCTGGCTTTGTGCACGTGGAGCCGTCCGTGTGTGCCGCGGCCACGCCGAGCCCCCAGCCCCTGCTCTGCCCACAGCTGCCCCCCACACCTCGGCCAGGCCCGCAGATCCTGAGCCCCATTGCAGGGAGGACCTCGGATTTTCAGCATCTCCGCATAATAAACCGTCTGGAATTTAAGAATAAAGGGCCTTGCTGGGAGGTGTATGTGCAAATGAGCCACGCTGGAGCCTTTGAACTCCTCGGAGCCGCCCCTGGCATGTGCCAGGTGTGGGTACAGCTTGTGCTGGAGCTCCTCCTGGCCTGGCCCAGCCCCAGCGTGAGCTGGTGAGCGAGCAGAGCGTGAGTGCTGAGCTGTGCAGGAGCCTCCCTCGGCCCTTCGGGGGGCAGGGTGACCCCTGCACCCGGCCAGACCCCGTCCAGGCGCCGAGCCCGGCTGCTGGGCTGTGTCATGGCAGCATGGGACAGTGAGCCAGAGGAAAAAAGTTCCGAGTGTGACAGCTTGCCTTAGGAAAGCACGGACCACGCAGATTTAACTGTGACTTGGGCTATTTTCTCTTTGCATGAACTGAGTGCTCAACACCCCCTTCCAGCATTTCATGGGAGATAGACAGATAACACCTCTATTGGGATAAAAATACTCTGCACTCCAACGTCCCACCTTCACACGGACGTCTATAGATAGTGCCTGCGTCTTGGTATTTTCTTCTCCTCCAGAATCATCTCCAACTCCTTTCTGCCTTTGACAGACAGGACTTGGATTGCTGGAGCTTCTCGGAGTCTTGCTCAAAGCAAGCTCCATGTTTGCACCTGGCAGAGGCAAGCGAGTTTCCTGGCCTCCTCACTGAGCCAACCCCCTTCCCACCCTCCCAAAGGCCCCAGCAGTTCCTGTGTAGTCCCAGCAGTGACCCCACAAGGTGTGTCCCATCCCTCGGGCTGGCCGAGCGCTCTGGGGATGTCACCCACCCGTGGGTGCTGCCCCGGCCCGGGCTGGTGCTGGCTCCTTTCCCCCAGAGCATCCTCGCAGCTGCTGGGGTGGGTGGGGGTCACAGAGCCCCTCAGCAGGACACGGAGATGCTTCATGTGGCTACAGAATTCTGAGTGGTGGTACGGCCTTTCTGGAGGAAGGATTTGTCCCCATCTCCTCCATTGCCGTGTCCCATCTGGGCTTGTCTCGCTCCAGCAGAACGAGGAGCTGCTCCCACAGTGCTGCTGGCACCCTGTGCCAGGCATCGGTGTGTTTTCTCCCTCTGCATGCAGTTTTAGCACTTTTGCCTTCTTCAAAGGGAGTGAGGTCGGCGTGGGCTGGTGGGTGACGCAGCCCCTGAGAGCTGTGTGAGCAGCAGAGCCAGCACAGGGCACCCCTGGTACCACCTCTGCTGAGGAAACCCAAAGACCTCCACGGCCAGCAGCAGGAGCCAGTTTCCCTGGTTTTACAAAATTAGGTAAACCGAGCTGCAAACACATAAAAGTGTTTTAATTTGTTTCCAAGGCAATGAGTCAGGCTCAGATGGCGAGTCAGGAATAGCACAGCAGGGCTCCTCTGCTAGCTCACCTGCGCAGAG